CGCCCAATCGAATGCAGAATTCCAGAGAATAGCTAGAAGAGATAAGAATGCCTTCTTAAATGAACAGTGCAAAGAAATAGAAGAAAACAATAGAATAGGGAGGACCAGAGATCTCTTCAAGAAAACTGGAGATATGAAGGGAACAGTTTCATGCAAAGATGGGCATGATAAAGGACCAAAATGGCAGGGACCTAACAGAGGCAGAAGAGATTAAGAAGATGTGGCAAGATTACACAGAAGAACTATACAAGAAAGAGCTTAACGTCCCTGATAACCACTGTCCCTGATAACCACGATGGCGTGGTCACTGACCTTGAGCCAGACATTCTGGAATGTGAAGTCAAATTGACCTTAAGAAGTCAAAGCAACAACAAAGCTAGTGGAGGTGACAGTATTCCAGCTGAGCTATTCAAAATCTTAAGACGATGCAGTAAATGTGCTACACTCAATATGCCAGCAAACTTGGAAAACTCAACAGTGACCACAGGATTGGAAAGGTCAGTTTACATTCCAATCCCAAAGAAGGGCAATGCCAAATAATTTTTGAGCCACCGCACCATTGCGCTCATTTCACATGCTAGCAAAGTTATGCTCAAAATCCTACAAGCTAGTCTCCAGCAGTATGTGGACCGGGAACTACCAGAAGTTCAGGCAGGATTTCGAAGAGGGAAGGGAACTAGAGATCAAATTGCCAACATACGCTGGATCATGGAGAAAGCTAGGGAGTTCCAGAAAAACATCTACTTCTGCTTCATTGACTATGCTAAAACCTTTGATTCTGTGGATCACAACAAATTGTGGCAAGTTCTTCAAGTGATGGGTACCAGACCATCTTATTTGTCTCTTGAGAAACCTATTTCAGGGTGAAGAAGCAACAGTGAGACCTGGGCATGGATTGGATCACTGATTGGTTCAAAATTGAGAAAGGAGTTCAGCAAGGCTGTATACTGTCGTCCTGCCTATTTAACTTATATGCAGAGCACATCATGAGAAAGGCGGAGCTAGATGAATCACCAGTTGGAATTAAGATTGCCGGGAGAAATATCAACAACCTCAGATATGCAGATGATACCACTCTCATGGCAGAAAGTGAAGAGGAACTGAAGAGCCAGACAATCCTTTGTCAACTGGAAGTAAGTTGCCTAAGTGATCTAGCAGAATGCAAAAAACAAGCTGGAGAAAACTATTTTCTGCCCAACATTCTTTGGTGGCAGCAGAAGATTAACTGGGCTTGTTTAACCAGACTAGGAGAGGGTAGATGATAGATAAGGGAGCATTTGCTGCCAGAGGAGGGCAATTGTGACCAACCCAATTAGTGGGAGTGAGGCATAAAGATGAAAGACCTAAGGTTTGGCTCCTATTGCTGCTTCTCTTTGCTTTAAAAACAATAAATAAGTATGCTTCTATTCTCTGTTAGGAGCAGCTATGAGGGGACCATGTTTCCTTGTCCAAGATGGATCTTATCTATAAAGGGAGAAACTGATTTTTCTTTCCTGAAACATTTAGCAGAGACCTTCTTTTTTCATTATATCTTTTTTAAAGTGTCAGAAACTTTGAATCAAGTGATTTAATTAATATTTTTGCCCCATTTTAGCAAACTACACTTCTGTTTTACTTGAGAAAGAGAATGTGACCTGTAAGATTTGTTACTAAAGTAGCAGCTGATACAACTAAAAATGATAAGAAAGCAGCAAGTGCTTTAAATATTCTTAATAAACTCAAGCTAAATTTTGGAGATAGATCTATCTAGTCTGATAAGGCTGAGATTGCTGCTTTTTGGAACTGTTGCTTTCTCTATACCATTTTTACATAGCTTTGTGATCTAAAAAGTGGTACAAAATGTGTATTTTGAAACATCTGCATTCACTCACTAACATTTGTTTACACTTTCCAAATGAAAGCATTTTTCTTTGCACATTTTCAAATGTGTGCACACTGAACACTTGTTTTTCTGGAATGCTTTGAAAACTTGGAAATGTGTAAATTTTCAACCACAAATTTTAATATAGTCCTAGAGGTGCAAACTGAATAAAACTATTTAAAAGCTTGGAGCAAATATCTCAATAGAGCTTTTTAAGTCTTCATATAACAGCATTTCTCTGTAAAATACTGCCACCAAGGGTTCAAATGTGCTCACTGCTATAGTAATGATTTCTGCCAACTCTGAATGCACCTAGAACAATTTCCTTTTCTCAAGAATTCAGTGCTTACCAGATATTCATAAAGTTTCACATATATATTTGGGAAAGCAAGAGTGGAAACCTGTATCTCAGATGACATGCTTCTATTTCTTTTCAGGAAAACAGCATTAAATTAGATATCTCTGTCTTCTCATAGCAGGAACAAGGAGGAATAGTCAGTTTCAGACTATTTATCAAGTTTTTGGCAGGCGCTGGCACTCTTTTTGTTTTGGAAAAGAGAATAAGCTGTTGTGGGGCAGGCAATGATGATTCACAGAAGTTGTACTGTTCCTATTTGGGGGCTGAGGGCTAATATAGTAAGCAATCAGTGATAGCACCTTTCAGAGGCTCCACCAACCAGAACCTCTCCAGTTTCTTCCTGCTTGCCTTCTATCAATAGCTTCTGTACCTGAAGATGTCATGCATGTGGGATTTACTTTGTTTTTACTAGAATCCTTCAGATCCAACCAGAGCCTTGGTGCAAAAGAAATAGTCTTAAGATTAAAGAATTTTGAGCCTAGGAATTTGAATAACAGAACTGAATGCAGCTAATAGCCCTTGCATACAAAGATTCATTCCTGGTTACCCCAAGCATTCATCATTTCAGCAGCATAATCTATTGAAATAAGAAAGGAATCATTATGTTGCTGTTGTTAATCAAATGAGAGTCAGAATCCCTTGCCAATCAACTGCATATGATCCAGATCTAGCATTTGTCCATCTCTTCTTTACACTTGTAGCACCATTTCCACATTAACTCCTGAAATTCAAATGCATTGTTAAGATAATCTTTATTTCTACATGTAAATTATCATTGCTTAAGTAAAGGCAGAGAATAATACTCAAAATGTTTCTGAAAATCTCTGATTTTACATCTTACTCCTCCTGCATTCATACAGCAACAAAAATAATTTTATCATTGTTCTTCTCCCCCACCTCATCACAATTAATATAAAACTGAATCATTCATTCCACCACTCCAGGTTTTGACTCTATTCTCTCTAGTAGAGGAAAATGGACAGGGGAAAAAAACTGATCAATAACGGCCAATTTATGTTTTGTGAGGGAGTGTGTATGAATGACGTGCACTAACACACACACACACACACAGACACACTTCTCAAAGAAGAAGAAACCAAGTTAGTAAGTGGAAGATGCATACAAGCCAACCCAATTGAGGAACTACCACTTCCCCTGTGAAATACCACTTAATACATTCTACATACGACGGAACTTCAATGGTACAGCAGTACAATGTTTGTGGATAAACTGTAGAATATGAATGCCTATGCTGGCCTTGGTGTATTCTATCAATGTGTAAACTTCGACCTTTCAAATAAACAGAAGAACCAAGAGTAATTTAAATGGTATTTACTGAAAGTATGGGCTCTGAATAAAGAAATGGGTATTAGTACTAGCAGCAGCTCTGTCTGTCTGTCTGTCTGTCTGTCTGTCTGTCTGTCTGTCTGTCTGTCTATCTAAGAGGCTTCTATGCCGCCCCATTCGCTGAAGCCTCAGGGCAGCTCACAATAATAAACACAATATAAAAACAATACAATTTTAGTCGACCTGGCCAAGAATTAAATAAATAAATAAATAAATAAAATTAACAATTAAAATAACGTTTGCATAAAAAGGTCTTCGCCTGGCGCCGAAAAAGAAATAACGATGGCGCCAGGCGGACCTCTCTGGGGAGCGCATTTCATAGATTGGGCGCCACCGCAGAGAAAGCCCTCCTCTGAGTACTTATCCTCCTAATATCCTTCACAGAGGGCTCCCGGAGAAGGGCCTCTCCTGCTGATCTCAAGGGGTGGTCGGGCATATACTAGTAGTGCATTGCATTTATAGCTTGCCTTTTTCCTTCTTCTGTGGCTTACACAGCTCCATTTTAAGTTAACAACAATCTTGTGAGATATGGTGGGCTGGGAGTGAGTAACTGGCCCAAAGTCATCCAATGAGTTTCAAGGCTGAGTGGGGATGAGGGCCCAGATCTTCCAGGATCCCAGTCCTATACTCTAAGTACCTCAAGTACATCTGAGTCACATTCTATGAAGAATACAGTTACAAAAGTGACAGGAATTTCATGGCCACCCATTTGCTGAATAAGTCAAACACATGCTCATGGCCAAGTTGGACTATAGCCAACAGATATTTGGCCACAGATATTTTCATGCAGTAGTCTGCATGTAAAGTACACTAGAATCTTTTGTACTTCCATTTGAGGAACAGACTAATAGTTTTGTGAGAAGCACCATTTTATGTGAGGATAGAGAAAGTCTGGAAGGGAGGAGCAAAATGTTAAAAAATCAGAAGGAATCACTGCCTTAAAGCAATCTGTAACACTGCAGCAAAATGGTAAAACGTTTAAGTTTCTCAACCATTTTCATTAAAAACATTTTGTAAAATGGAGTGCTTTATATTGGCCAAAGTTAAGCGTTCAGATGAAGATAGATTACAATGGGGTAAGAACACCTCCAACAAATTGTAGCTACATACGACAAGCACAATCAATTACATAAATTGTTATCAAATAATTCCCCCGATAATGCTTTCCACTTTCTGGAACATGGCAGGTTGGTGGGGTTAACTGTCTCCTTTGGGGTTTGCAGTGCAGAGATTTAACATTGCTTGTGCAACAGAGTTGGTGGTGTGGGCCACTTTCAGAATGGAAGCAGCAGGCCCTACCTAAGGATGGACTGTGTTGGATACTGCCCTTAGTCTCATTGCAACTGCTGCAATTTAGCGCAAGTAGACTTGAAAAGCAACGCAGAAAGAGCCTTATACCACTTAATATTGACTATTCCATACTGTGTTATTTACCTGCAATCGTATGTGCATACAGTCTGCTCCCAAAGGTGAAAACATGTAGTTCATACAGCTTAGCAATCTTTTCTAGGAATTCTTTACAATGAGGACGTAACCGAGTGTGCAGCATTGGTTCCCCTCGACCTAACTGATAGTGAAATATTCCCTATGGGAGACAAAACATGCTTGGTAAGACTTATGGAAACTAGGTCTCATAAACAAATAAAAAATTTTCCAGCTTATATAGAATGAGTTCCCACATGAGATTTGTGTGTTTAAATATGAACCTACCATTCTAAGTTGAACTAAATAAGCAACGATTAAATTTGACCACTTTGCATACACTTATAAAAATATATCATGTATAAAAAGAATCATGTGGTTCTTTTGTTCAGTGTTTATATTAACACCACATCTCAAAGTCTGAAAATATGCAGAGAAAATAAGCATTTTCTAATGAGGTAAATTTGAGGAAGACTACCTGGAAACACCTAACTTCAGTTTTGTTTGTATTGCTAACATGGAGGGACCTGCATACAAGACTATAGCCAGGACAGCTATGGGGTGTGTGTGTGTGTGTGTGGACTACCAACTATTTCTTTCATCTTTATAAAATCCCATTCTGTAGCAAATTCCTGCCTTCAGAAGAAGCTTTCAGGGTAGGGTAGAAGAAGGAATTCCTGAAATGTTCCAATACCTATATACTTTTAGTGTGACAACAAGGAATTTTACAATGTGGCCATTCTTTTCTATTTTATCCATACAATGAAATTTTACATTACAGATTTTATTCTGTTCTGTTCCAATATATTCAGAAGACAAAGAATAAATTCCACAATGTATTAAAGCATATACATTTTTTAAAATGCTAAAAGTTCAAAGGTCTCTTTATTTTTCAGTGCTTTTGGTGTTTCCAATGATATTGAGAAGTAAAATTAATTCTACACTTATGATCTGCAGGACTTGGAAAGTTGTCTACTTCATGTAAGTTCAGGAACCAAAATCAGTCTTTGGCAGTGGGTGGCAGTTTTTTTGGAACTCATTCATCTGTTGAAGTCTTGCCCAGTGTCAATTATACTCAAAGGTATTTTAATATTTAAGCCTACAACAGTAAATATATTAATGTTTAACCAAATATATTAAACCTGATCAAAGAGTATTATAATCTATAGTGTTGATTTACTCTGTTAGACATCTGCTGGCAGTGCTGTTCTGTGGTATGAATCAATGTCTGGTCCAAATCTACCATTAGCACCAGTTTTCGATTTCGGCGTAGCCGCTCCTGGTCTTCTCTTCCCAATTGTTCAGCTTGCTACAATACAAAGAAATGAACATGCTAAGTATACCTGAGAAAAGTTCAAATTTTTAATCACCAGTGGATATATCTCATCTATCCAAAAGCACATTCTTAAGAATACAGACCAATTCTATGCATGTTTACTTAGAAGCAAGCCTCATTGACCTGGTTTACACAATCACTGTGAGTAAAACCAGCCACAGTAACTAGTTTAAACCACGGCAGATATTGGAACATTTACCTAATCACCTGCCTAAGTGTAGCTTGTTGTGTCATTCTAACCTGGGTGGCATGGCTTGCTAGAGGCGAACATACATAAACCAAAAGCCCATGGAAAGTATGCACAGATTGCAACCCAAGTTGTCTAATGTTTGTTTATATATGTATATTTCCCCTCTTTAAGGAAACACAAGGTGGCTTACATAATTTTCCTTTTTCTCTCTATCTTATCCTCACAATATCAACAACCCTGTGAGGTAGGTTGGGCTAAGAGTCTATGACTGGGCCAAAGTTATCCAGTGAACTTCATGGCTGAATGGGAACTAGAACCCAGATCTCCTGAGTTCCAGTCCTGCATTCTTAACCATTACACCACACTGGCTTTCCAATGTTCCATTAATAATTATGTAAAAACATACCAACAAAAGGACATTTTCAAAGAACTCTCTAAGAACTGACATTACTTTGAAAGGAAACAGACATCAGTTTCAACACCTGAAATGACTTGGGATTCCATCCAATAATTTTGACTTTAAACCTGCTTAAGATAGGCATGCCCCATTACATATATAAATAATGAAGGAATTAGATTTACTGAATTTTGAATGTCTGCCAAAATTGTGAATGGGCGTATACTTGCCTCAGAGCTAACCATCAATTCTGGGACACTATGAACCATTGATACAGTTGCTGTGGATACTGGCATGTTCTGTTTTCCATTCTTGCTTCGGAGTCTAATAACAGAAGGAAAGCAAAGAAAAAAATTAAACAAATGCAAGTAGTATTTTTAAAAAATATACTAAGAGGATTAACTGGTTTACTATAGCATGAATTTTCACAGAACACTACCTTATCACATGAACAAAACAAGTACTAATTGACATCATGTTTAATTGGCAGGTAGAACTCTAAATATTCATGAGAACTGAACAAACAGTATGCCTTTGATACTGAAGCTCATGTCACACTCATTTCATACAATTTCTTAGGAAGAAAGTAACCAAGAAATTGCAATACAGAATATAAGTGTTTACTGTTCAGGATCCCATAAGTAAACATAAGAAAATGCTTAGAACAGTCCCTATGTTTATAGTTAGGGTAGGTTGGAAATTTGATAAACATTTACCACCTATGAGCTTGTATTTTGCTGTATAAAACTGGTTATTACCATTTTTTCTTCTTTACCAACATCCAAAAATAGAAGTGCCTCCAGAGAAAAAGAAACTACAATACATTACTCAGATGGATTCAATGAGTTATATTGGTGAGATACAAGATTGTGCTTTATAGAGCCAGAAGACTAGAACTGTAATGATTACTCCCAATATTAAGTGCAATCATTTGAAGTATTTTCACTCCACTATTCAGCTGAAAAGGACCCCAGTAATAACAACAATATAAATTGTTCCTGCCCTCGGGCTTATAAAATTAAAAATATAATGTAAAAGAAAAAGGGGATGGGAAAAGTAGACAAAAAAGCAAACTTGGGGACTATTTTTAGAGTTACATAATTCTTACAATGACCAGGAAGGATAAAAACAGTTCAAGGAGGGGAGGTGCTAAAAGCAGAGGGAGTGTTACATGAAAGTAACAGTTACCCATTTGGTGCATATTATCACATGCATGTCTCTTAGTTCAGCAATTTGCTATTTTCAGTTTTTACCCTATCATCTTGATTTAATATCAGTATACCTGTGCTTATACCTATCAAATGCTTGGTCCACTGTAGGCATTTCATGTAGACTGATACATCGCCTATCCTCAAATTATGGCATATTTATACTTTGCAAAGCCAGGGTGGTATAACAATTAACTACACTTTCTTCTGACAAGTATTTCTGGCCCTACTGGCTTTACAATTGGCAAAAATTACTCTTAATACATGAGAAGTACATTATTTGAGTGGATCTGTTTGTTTTCAATCAAATTTCACAATTGATCCATTGTAATCAGTAATAAGTAAAGGTCCAGCTTAATGCAACGGTACTCACTGTGTCAAATCTTGGCCACATTCTGCACATAAACCTTTCATAACTACAGGGTGACTACATCCTTCCAGCCTCATCAGAACACCCCTGGGAAATAAAGTAAAATCTGATTTAGAGAAAATAATTATTTTACATTTTCTATTGTATCTGATCTGCTACATAACTATAAATATGTATTTTCCCTCTTTTTGTGATTGTCACATTGACCCAGTTTGGATATCACATCTATCCAAGTGTTTATTTAAAAACCAACAACCCTGCATTGTGAGCAAGGTGATACATGTTGCCTGATCATTCCCATTCCAAACAGGAACAATGTAGGAACAATTTCTTCCTGGGTTGTTCAGCACTATGTTCCAAGTAGATTCCAACTCTGTTGATTCTCCCCCACTAAGACCAACTTCCTGTTTCATGTAAAACACTAACCCAGGGATTGACAGTTTGTATATTTACAACTACCCAGGTTTTAACTACCACACTGCCCAGGCTTTAAATGTTACAGCATCTGAAATAGGCCACTGGATACGAGGGAATAACCCAAATATAACATACAAATCTACAGAGTATGTGCAGCTCTACATTACTTGTGCATAAAGGTAATACAGATTTTTATTATCTTTAACACTCTTAATTGGTATGAAAGAACACATGATCCTGGAGTCTATTTTTTCTCTAAATCATGGTCAGCATTACCAACACAACAGCCTAAAATGAGGCAGCACATGGAACTTAACATAAATGACATATTCATGAAACATCCAAAAGGAAAAGAAAAATTCCATGTATTTGTTAAAATTAAGACCCAATGAAGTGCATAGGTCACGATGTAATAGCAAGCATTGGTCTTGGTTAATGGGCAGTGTTGTTAGTTGCGAAGTTGTGCCCAAAATCAAATAAATATCATGAGGGAGAACTGAAATTAGGCAGTTTACCTCAATCCAACCAACAAGAGGGCACGATCTGGCCCATGAGTCTAATCTGGTCTGTGTGGTTGCCCAATATAGCCCAGGGAGAGTTGAGCACTCTCTGCAGACTCCTCTCTTCCCTTTCTAAGACCTGCCCCCTGGCCTGGGGAGAAGAATTCCCTTGTTATCTCTGTTCAGATATAACAACTGGCTGATCCTACACTGAAGACTCTGCCTGAATTCCTTCCTGCACCACTTGCACCCTGTTTGGGAAATGACTTGGGCAGGAATAAGGTGCCTAACTTGCCCAGGAATGCAGGACTCAGTACTGAAAAAGCTGGCCAATTTCTTCCAGAAGAACTGAATCATGATTTTATGAAGGAAATGAGCAGAAATGAAATTAAGCAAGTCATCTCAATGTCACATAAACATATACCATTTATACTATTTGTACAATATTAATACATTTTCCCCAAATCAACCATAAGCGTCCAGAGTTAAAACTGGAGTTGCTACAAGGCTTTGTAATCATAGACAGGGCTCCAAAGCTTACATAATCACTTTTTTTTTAAAAAATCACATTTTAAATAATCAAACATGTTAAGACATTAACAGCTTAGGAAATCTTAGTTGTCTTCCGTTTATTTTAACAGGTTCTTTACACACTTTCCAAGGTAGTGAAGCACCACCTTTTTTACAGTCACTGCATTTCATTAATATATAACTTATATATTCAGAACTGGAATGCTTGAAAGAAAAAATATTTCTGGAAGCAACATGCCACAGCTGCAATTTTCATTAATAAGTAAGTAAACTTCAAAAATTTATGAGCTAATATTTCAATAAGGGTTTTTTGCTTTTTGTAAGCTGTCCAGAGACTTTTTGTATTAGGACGACATATAAAAACTTTACATAAATAAAATTAATTAATAAATAAGGTTTTGCACTGTTGGCCAAACTGACAAACTTACAGGACATAATAACTGATTGTGGATTGCTACCCATGAAGGGTTGTCATGTAATAAGAACCCTACACCATTTCCCCAGGATGGCTTGTGCATGAACAACAAGCCATCCCAAGAATCTATAAACTGTTTTATAGGTTCTTGTTTCTGCAGTGGGTTATAATGTCATCCAAAACCACATGGCTGACCCCATAGTGGATATGGGGAATAGGTTAACCAACCATGTGGCAAAAGCAACAACCCCCCTCCCCCACCACTACTCTTGCCAACTTCCACTTGCAAGCTCCAGTGCCAGTGGTGCTTGAGGGCATCTGGCACGGCTGTCTTCCTACTCCCTATCATGCTGCAAGCCATGTTGGGCTTGCAGTGGCTTCTCTTACCCTTTGAAACATAATGCATTGAGGGAAACTGCAAAAGCTGGCTGTCAGGCTGACCTTCATGATCCCCATTTTGCACAGTTCTTGAAAAGTGCCCCAGCTACATCTTGGAGGTCTTGTCCAGCTTTTTTTTTTTTTTTTTTTTTTTGGAAAAATGGTTTGGATACAAAACTGACACCAAACAGTATTTTTATTTTTGTATGTAACAATGTGAAAAGTAATGTTTAATTTTAAAAGTTGTGCAATTGTGCAACTGTGATCTGTAAAGCCACTGTGAAGGTTTGAAGCCTTGGCTGAAGCAATGTCCAGGAAGCTGGCTGCTGCCAAAATTCCTCACCCTTAATATTATGATAATAGAGTCAATAAATCCATCACCCCACTTTGGTACCTTTTGACAGGCTGAAGAAGTGATCTGTTAAGATAAACTGAAGGCACGAATAATTAATTGCTGAGGAGGAGCTTTTAGGGATTTTCACCCGATTTTCATGCAGCAAGATCGTCGTTTTTTTTCCTTCCTCACTTTGTTCCCATTGAGGTACACATTTTGCACTTTCTCCTGAGCCTCTAGGTATCTAAGAAAGTACAAACATGCAGTGCCCCACTTTTACAAAGGAAAAGGGGTTTTGACAGTTGTTACATCTGGCTGTCATAAAATGTGGTCCCTTTAAAAAGGGTTTGAGTTAGAAATGGTTGCTTTTGGTCTGGGACAAACAGACCAAAGTTGAAATCATCCATTTCTAACTCATCTCCCCACATTTTAAGGCAATCAAGTATGAGAAAGGGAATCTACATTTTCACTTTCCTGTGTACCTAGACCAGGGGTCGGCAACCTTTAACACTCAAAGAGCCATTTGGACCCGTTTCCCACACAAAAGAAAACACGGGGAGCCGCAAAACCCATTTGACATCTAAAATGAAGATAACACTGCATATATCATTTTTTACCTTAATGCTATGTATAGCTTCAGTATGATTTAGCTGCAGCTCTTGTTCAGTCACTAAAAACTGTTATTTTTAATCTTACATTATAAACTAGTAGGACTCCTTTCATATATTTTGAATAGGAGAACAGCTTCCTGAAGAGTCAAAGTCAGTGCTAAAGGGCTGCATGCATTAAACAGCAAACCCCCTAAGTTCGTCAGCAGTGAAAGCAAGTGAATCTACACACGCACCATTAAAACCATTTGGTTTTCTTCAGAAACTTTTATTTTCTTTGATTTATCCATGGTTGGCCTACTGTGGGGGGAGGGGGGCTCAGTAAATCAGCACAGAGGAGATATAGGTGTGTTTAGTGACTGATTAGTAGATAAACATTCAAGTGCTGTGAATTGTGACAGGTCCCAAGCACAGCTTTTAACATTCAGATGAAGGAGATTACACTGGGCCAAATAGAATCTTTTCAGCAGCTTTTCCTGTAACTTGAGAGCTTGCAGGAAGCTTGTTTAGCAGAGGAATGTAGCAATTTACTTAACTAGCTGATTTCCTTAACTAGCTAGCACTGTGTTCCTGAGTGGAGCTTCAAGCAGATCAGTGGCTGTGCCAGCGCGTGTTTTGAGCGACGGAGCCGCAGCAGAGGGATTCAAGAACCATGTGCGACTCCAGAGCCCCAGGTTGCCAACCCCTGACCTAGACACTTGACAAAATGTGCATTCTGATAATGTGCACTGGGAGGGGAGGGGAGGGGAGGAACTTATTATAAAGGTGGTGAAAATCCTCCCAACCCCCTTTTCAGAGAAAGACATCTACTTTCAAAACTCTGGGTCCTTTTACAGGTACTTCAGGAAAGTAAGGATATCCATGTTTTGTTTTACTTTTGACAGGGACACAAACTTCCACATTTTTGAGCATTTAGAATCTCAGAAAAGAGTGGAAACTGACAATAGTCAGGTCCAAAAACAAACAACACTTCATAGAGGATCTCATCAGAAAGCTTTGAGCTACTGCATCCTCCTCACTTGATGCTTTGATTTCTCTTAATAGTTTGCCTTTTGGCATCTGTCAAGAGAATGAAAAGTGAAAATACACCTCTTTGCAGTCTCTCTGGGTCACTGCCCATGATGGGTGCCTGCTTATGCAAATCCAACTAAAACAAAAATCTAATGCAAATTTCTTGTGATCTCAAAGCACAATCTCCAAGGTGGGTAGAGCGAGTGAAAAAAAGCTCATGAAAAGTGCTTATGATCACAGTGGGGCAGGCAGACAAGATGGGTCCTTTGAAGGGGTGTCCTGGGATACCCATAATATAACCAAATGGAAGGAAGATAAGCCATGGTGAACCCCACTATTTCTTGGTTGTAGCATGAGTTGTTTCATAAATACCTTGTGTATCTTATTTACAGGGTGGGATGCTGGGTTGTGCTAACCTTCCCATCAACTCATGATTCCTTTACAAATGTATGCAATTATAATGGACCTTAGCTCACAATTGGCATTAGAATAATTAAGGTGGGAAGACTTTAAACAAAGTTTAAAAATCCTGGCAACGTGGGACAGAAGCTTTCCCTTGTATGGAATACAAACATTCACCAGAAATAAAACTAAGATGATACTAAAGACATGGAGCACTGCACAGAATCTAGAAATACACTTCTTTTCAGAGCTTAAAATACCAGAAATTTAAAACATTTTTACCCCAACTTTAGCTGAGAAATTGATCTCAAAATGGTCCACAAATGCATAACAGCATGTTAAAATAGAGCAATAAAGGTAAGATACCAATTTAAGAACCCATCTACTCTTAAAGTACTAGGCAAATAAAGAGGTTTTGGACTGGCACTGGAAATACTAAAGCGTCAGCAAGCGGATTCCAAAGCTGGGACATTACCAGAGAAAAGGTCCTTCTCCAGGAAGCCACTCTTCTAACCTCTGTCAAGGTTGGCTCTTGAAGAAGGACCTCAGGGGAAGATCTTAAAGTTTAGGCAGGTGTATACAGAAGGAGATGCTCCTTCAAACAACCATCCATTATTTGAGATCCATTAGCTATATTTAGTTAAAAGGAACACACTGGTTACATGACTTTTTATGTTGCTGAACTATTAGTTTAAGAGTGCTTTAAAGTGTATTTTTATTGAATATTTCTATCCATGATAAAACTGGGCATAAAAAGCACCCAGTCAACCAGAGGATTCCACGTGTAAAAATGCTTTGTAGTTAGGAAACAGCTACTGCACAACATGCTTAGAGCAACATTCCAGCAATATGCTGAGGAAATGGGTTAACCCATAAAAAGGGTCACACGCATGCACAACACAGTGACAAAAAGCTACAAGTGCAAACAGTCAATTACTGTTGGGCCTGTTATCAAACACAAATTTCTATCTAACTTAGATTTTGAAGACACACAAATCTCTCTGAATATTTAATTCTAATATGTGCACACACACACACAAAGATTTAATCTATACTTATAAAATGACATCTCCTTAATATCAGTCTTTTTGCTTTGGTATAGCATAAGGCAAAATTACTCAAGAAATTATGCTATAATCGTTAGTTCAAATTGTCCTTTTTAAAAAAAGCAACAAACTGTCCTGAACTAATATATTAATACAGATCAGTAATTGTTAGACTTATCTAATGCTGTCATGACTATTAGAACAGGAATTACATTTGTAAAAACAAATCTGAATTTTGGTAAATTTCAGAATATTTCATTCAAGAATTTATTTTGCTACTGTATTCTCTGTTTCCTTAACTGTCGACCGGTAGGGTAGCAGCTCTGTCTTAAAACTGATCCAACACTGTTGTATTTACTTCCGAAACAAGGCCGTATATCTTGCCCACTTCAACCTTTCAAGGTAGGATGTATAACAAACCTAAATTCACAGACTACTGTATTTTTACCAATTCTTTCTCCTCACAGCATCCCTTTGATGTACATTAACCTCAAATTCAGCATTTGGCAAAAAGTAAGCCAGTAAGTTCTGCAACTAAATGGAGGTCTGGATCAGGTCAAGTATTTGTCCAACATTCTACCACGGTTTGATTCAACATCTCCCAAAATCTGCAGCACATTTCGCTAAATATTAGGGGCAAGTACTCCCTGCAGAAGGCTAGGACTAACAGGCCATCTTAATGTTGGTACCCCAACTGTGAAATGCCCTTCTGCAAAGAGTTTCACTTGGTACCAGGTGAAAAATTTTAGTTCTCAGGTCTTCTAAAAAAAAATCCTGTGTTATTGGTATTCTGAACCAGTAAGTTACTATTTAAGTGCTGTAGCATTAGGGGTATTGGGGAGAGGCACGTTGGAAATTTTTATTTTATGATAATAAAAGGCACCTTCCAGATGATTTGGACTGCAGCTTTCCACAACCCCTAACCACTGGTCATACTAGCCAGGACTGACAGGAGTTTTAAGCCAAAACATATGCCAGGCACCAGCTTACCTATCTCTGCATTGGAGCAAGAAAGTCAACCACAACTACAGCAAATATAAAACACCCATTTGAAAGGTCCTTCCTTGACATCATAACAGATCCACCAATGACAATAAAAGAATTGTACTATGCAAAAATAGTCATTGTAAGAACGGATAAGTCGGTGACATACAAACAATATATAGTACATTGAAACATTTTAATCCCACCTTAACCGTCAAGGTAGCTGCAGATTGCAGATCAGTAACTATCTAAACTATGCTCTTCTTTGCTAACATCTGTCTCTTAGCAAAATGAACAATCAGCATACAACTCTTTGTCTACTTTATCTTAGTGGAGTGCTGAAAGTGAAAGTAAATACAAGAAAATTCCCTCAAATGTGATAAAAAGAAATCAGTATGGTCTACAACTGCCTTCCCCAATCGGGTGCCCTCCAGAAGTATTAGCATGTATTTCCTATCATCCCCAGCCAGCATAGCCAAGCACTTCCATCTGAGTCACCACGTTCTGCTTCACTATGCAGTCCTCGCTATTCACTCCTCTCATCTCCTTTATGAATTGGGATGCGGGGGAGACAAAGCCTCCGCTACTGCAGCTGTTCATTAACAAAGCTCACTGCTTGACAGGTTTACTTTTCTTTGCACTGCCCAACACTTTCTCCCTCCTTCACACATTCAAACCCAAATTTCTGTAACAGAATAGTCATCGTAAGAGAGAAATCTAGGGGCGCATCGCAGTGGCCAGGTGGGTCGCCGGGCCAAACCACCGCGTTTCTCTGCCTGCGTAGCTCTCCGGCTGCAACGGGGGGGGGCAGGGGGGGAGGAGGAGGAGGAGGCGGTGCGGCAGAGCTCGGCTGTCACAGGCGCCGCAGCTCAAGAGGGCGGGGAAGGGACGGGCTGCTGCTCCGCGCGCTTTCCTGCCTCTACTCGCCGTGCACCACACTTCGCTCTCTGCCAAACAGAGAGCGGGCGCCGAAGCGGCTCGAACTACCGTCGCAGCGGCGCGAGGCGTTTCTGAGTCCCGGCGGAATCCACCTCCTTCGCCGGGGGCCCCAGCCCTACCACCCGATACCCCAGCACCCCCTCGCGCGCGTGTTTCCCTTTCTGTCCTTACCCGGGCGGGATAACCTGGCCAAGCTGAGCGCACAGCTCTCGCACCACTCCGGGCCGCTCCGCCTTGACTTTTCTCTCGGGCGGTCGCTGTGGGCCGGTCTCCGTGGGCGAGGTTCCAGGCCGGGCCGGGACCTGGATAGGTACGCAAACCGCCAACACCGACCCGATTTTCACCGCCGCCCCTGCCGACACTTTCCATTCCAAGAGACGCAGGGGCTGCGGGCCAGAGACTCGGATCTCCGTCACTTCAGACGCGGTGCCGTCCCCTCCAAAGGAGGCGGCGGCGGCCCCCGGTTCCTCCATGGCCTCGGCTACTGGGGCGCTATCCCAGGCCGGGCCCGTCCAGGGATAGGTCGCTATAGCAACGGCAGCGACACTACCGGCTCAGTGATAACAATCGAACGAAAACGTTATCTTATCTCCTCCCCTCCCCCCACAACTACTACCTTCAAAAAAAAAATAACAACAAGGAGTAGTCACGAGCAGCGCCGACTGAGCGCGAGGTCAATGGCTCGGTGCGCAGGCGCGAGGCACCCCTTTTTTTTCTCGAGCTCGCGTAGCCTTAAAGGGACAGCACCGCAAACCTCAACACGCCAAAGAAGTGAAGCGGTAAAGAAGGCTCTTAACACGCTTCCAGGTCCACAACAGGAAGTTTTAGCCTCGCCTTCAGTGCTTTTTCCGGCATCGCTCAGTAGTGACGCAAATGCACACCCTTTCGTCCGCCCTACGCGTGGACTGCATAACATACGATCCCATGTTCTTAGCCCCGGCGGAGGGGATTGTGGGATACAGATGCGGATCCCAAAGGTTCTTTTTACGTTGACTACGTATCCCGGCATGCATTTCTTTGGCAGTTAGGCGCATGCGCAACTAGCTTAGGTCAATGATTCGGACAAGAATTCTTTTGATTCCCTGGTCGGATGCATACAACAGTAGTAGACAGACTGCCTACGGAAGCTACAGAAATTCGATTTATAACGACAGTGATTTGCCAGCAGAACAAAACCAGAAGATTGTCTTCTATGAATATGCTTGTGTGAGAGAGTATGGATTTTACAGTGTTTAAATAAAATCACGCTCGAAATGTTTGTGAATCCCAAATGAACTGGCTAGTATTATCATCTCTGCGTTGTAAATGCAAAGAGAAGGGAGATTAAAACGAGCGCACTGTGGCAGGAGATGCTTGACCTGACTTGTGACAATTCTTTTAATATAGTCTAGTTTTATCCTCGGATATTTTATTTCTTTATTAAATTTATATTTTCTTTTAAAAAGAGCTCAAAGCGGCTCACATTATTCTCCTGCTGCTTTCAGGCTTATCCCCACAACAGCAACCTTGTGAAGTAGGCAGGACTGAGTTGGGTTGCCTCCGTGGCTGTGCTGGGACTAGATCGCCTGATGGAGTCCCAGTCCCGTGCTCTTAGCCACTGCACCACACTGGCTGTTACGTACCTGTGTGTATATTGGCTGTGAATTTCGGGTGTTGCAGTCCAGCACATCTGGAGGTTACCAAGTTGGGGAATTCCCATTTACAAACATTGCTGTCACCAGAAGCTGCACAGGGGGTGGCTATGCCCTCATTTGCTTCCATGCCTGAGGTTCCCCTCAGTTAACAGTCTGTTCCAACTTGCACTAAATGTAAACAAGCTGGTCAAGCATTTGAAGCTTTACAGTTGTGTAAGACGAGAATAACATCATCAAGAATGGCAGAATACTATTATCACCTAAAATAAGGCTCCCATCACATGACACATACATTGGGTTGATGGAAGATACAGTGAATTATTGGTGGGTCTAGTGAGTTTTGGAGGATGTCAAAACTTTTATTGATGGGAGCTGTTCAGCAGCCATTTTTCCATATACAAAACACATTTTTTCCTCAAGTGGTAGCTGAGCCTTCAGTAAATGTATTGGACATTGCACATCAGTAAAGTTCATAAATCTTGCAAAAATATAGCATAGCAGACATTTATAATGAGATTGTAAAGACTTTATGTCCCAATGGGATGATAAAATTTGGCAATATATATATATATATATATATCCTTCCATTTCTATCCCACCTTTCTTCCACTGTGGAACTAAAAGCAAAGTGCATGGAATTCCCAGTTAGTTTCCCATATGGCCATCAACCAGTCCCAGACCTGCTTAGTTGCAGCTAGGCAACTGCATCATGTGTCCCCAGACCATGCCTTGGGGCTACCACCAGTTTCCATTCTTTGCTGCAAATGTTTGCAGCTCAGCTAAAACATGCAGGACACTGGAATTACAGTGATATTCAAGATATCATCCACTATCATCCACAGTGTATGTTGTTTTCAGATTCCTGCATATTCAGTTACAAATGGAAAAATAAAGCTAGAAGGGTCTTGTTCTCTTATGAATTTCGCAATTTGGACCATTGAAAAAACCTTAAAAAACCACCCAGAATAGAACAGCTTCTATCGATTGGCTTAAATCCAGTGTTGCATGAGCAGACTTCCCCTTGCTCTTCTTGCCTTGTTGCTGTGCCTTGTACATCCTCAGATCTGCTCTGGAGTGTCTTTTAACCCCTAAAGCAGATGAAAGGCCTGCAGAGGGAAGGAATCCTGGTGAGCAGGGCTGGATACAACTCATAGTTTGAACTAACTCATTGTGCACACTTACTCTGGAATAAGATGTCTAAAATAATCCAATGCTGAACTCTCAACATGCATAACAATATTGTTATATATGGAAAATGATCAGTTCCCTGTTCCAAAGGTTTGCTAGACAAACTGGATGACTTTCTGTGAACAAAAGGAAAGCTAAAATTGAACCAAAGCCAAGCCCATTTTACTTTCACTCCACTAACTCTTATCTAGGAGAGTATTATCCCACAATGTTATCTTAACAATTGATTGGATCCAGACCAGATTCATTGTGGTTTGGTCATGCTGAAATCAGTGGAAGTTAAAAATCATGACCTACCTTTCATATTGATTTCAAGGTGTGAATGCAACAGTGTAAGTAATTTGGTCTAGATTTAACTGCATACCAATCCTCAAAACAACCCAGTTTTTATTCATTTATTTGTCTGATGTTCTGTAATGATGATCTAAAAATTAACTTCCCCCTAAATACAATTCTTGGTCTGTTCAAGACCTCCAAATGGAATGCAGAGAATTCATACTTAGATTTATATATTGGCTCTTTGCAACTGATCATTCTTGGCAAGAAGCGTCATGCCTTTTTGCATGAGAAAATATTGCTAAATAATGAAATGGTAGCTAGCCTAGGCTTTGTATATATGTTTATTATCCTGCTTTCTTCCTTAAGGAATGCAGTGTGGTTTACATAATCCTGTTCTTATCTACACTACAACTGTGTGACATAGATTAGGCTGAGAGTGAATGAGTAAGTAGCTGGGAAGTCACCCAGGCTAAGCTTCATGAAGTCACCCAGGCTAAGCGGGACTAGAACCTAGATCTCCCAGGTCCCCAGTCCAACAGTCTCACCACTATACTATACTGACTCTACAATGTGTGTATCCTCCTATGTGTGTATCCACCATAATTTTTCTGGTGGATCATGCACAGCTGCCAAGCTGGTGATCCATGACTTTATTGTATGCAATGCTGGCTGTGTATTACTCCTGCTGCTTGCATTAGAGAACTCAAACACAGTAAATACAGCCAAAGTATCAAGGCTGTGATTTGTGGGAAGGGAATTGGCACAAGCCTCATAAACAGGGAGTGGGAGACATTAGGATAGATGCCTAAGTAGAGATAAAATGAGAGAAATAGCATTAAAAAGAATAAAATCAAACAAAGCAAAGTTCTGTATTAAGGTAACAAAAGTCAAGTCAACCTGCTCTTGCTAAAGTATCAACTCAGCAACAAAAGCAAATAAACTAGTTAAAGCCAAAGCTGTTTGCAATTAGATCCTTTGTTGCACTGATGCCCTTCTGTAATTAGTGCCATAAAGGATGCCCAAGTGAAATATTTAACAACGCTGAGGTTGTTGGAGAAAATGTAGCATTACTTTTCCCTAGCCCTTTAGGCTGTTTCACTTGACCAAAGAACACCCATTTGATCCATTTGTTGATTCCTGTTTTCAGGGGGTGGGGAGAGTGTTACAGTTTCTGATACGAAGCCTGTCTGAATAGAAATTGGCCATTTGAATGAATCACTAGGTTTACAGTAATGTCCAGAGATTTGTTCTTCACTGGAATATTGTGAACCCAGTTCATATGTTTCAACCAATACTTCCCCAGAAAGAAATGTGACTGGAACACAGTGTTAGACAGAACCCAGCAGCATGGGTTCTCTGGACAGGAATCTGTCCCAGTTGGGTGTACTGGGTGCATTGAATTATCACTACAAGAAGGCCAAGGGGAAAATTTTACAAGTGATGGGGGCTGGTCCCCACAGGCGTGGGATGGTACATAGTTATATATTGGTTCCAAAACATCAAAGCAGGAGAACATGCTGGACTGTTCGGTAATGGAAAATGTGGATGCTTGTTGTTGCTTATTTCCCCAGTCATGTTTTCTGATATACTCCTGGAAGAACAGCAACTAAAGGTTGATGGCATATTTCTATGCGGCTTGTGTCAATGATGGGACCCTGTACAAATATGCAGCAATTCCATCTGCTAGGCAATGTTCTGTGTATTTATCTAACTTCTTTTATGCATGGTGGAGGAAGGGAAATATTTTAAAAATACAGCTTTCCCTCACCATTATCCCACAGGCAGTGAGTGAAAGTACCATGGTTTACAAAGCAAATAGTGTACATCAAAAAACATAGGATTTCTCTAGCTGCGTTTCATCACACCGTGTGTGTGCATGTGCATGTACGTGTGTGTATGATATAAAAATAAATTCCTGTTTATTACAGTTGTTTGTTTATTTTAATGTTTTAACCCCACATGAACTTCTCTACCCCTTCATGGATCACTGCCTCCATAGGAACCTGGAATGTAAGATCCATGAATCAAGGCAAGCTGGATGTGGTCAAACAAGAGATGACAAGACTGAACATCAACATCTTAGGAATCAGTGAACTAAAATGGACAGGAATGGGTGAATTTAATTCAGATGACCATCAGGTATACTACTGTGGGCAAGAATCCCTCAGAAGAAATGGAGTAGCCTTCATAGTCAATGAAAGAGTAGGAAAAGCAGTACTGGGATACAATCTCCAAAATGACAGAATGATCTCAGTTTGAATCCAAGGCAAACCATTCAACATCACAATAGTCCAAGTCTATGCCCCAACCACTGGTGCTGAAGAGGCTGAAGTTGACCGGTTCTGTGAAGGCCTACAACACCTTCTAGAATTAACACCAAAAATGATGTCCTTATCTTCATGGGGGATTGGAATGCTAAAGTAGGAACCCAAAAGATAACCAGAATAACAGGCAAGTCAACACAGAAATCAGATTGACTATGTGCTCTGCAGCGAAAGATGGAGAAGCTCTATACAGTCAGTAAAAACTAGACCAGGAGCTGACTGTGGCTCAGATCATGAGCTTCTTGTTGCAAAATTTAGGCTTAAATTGAAGAAAGTAGGGAAAAGCACTAGGCCACTCAGGTATGACCAATATCATATCCCAGATGAATATACAGTAGAGGTGACAAATAGATTTAAGGAATTAGATCTGATAGACAGAGTGCCTGAAGAACTATGGACGGAAGTCTGCAACATTGTACAAGAGGTAGCAGCTAAAACCATCCCAAAGAAAAAGAAATGCAAGAAAGCAAAACGGCTGTGG